ACTCTACTAGACCTATATTTTGATGTTCTCCGATCTCTACTCTACTCTACATGTTTTATCTTTTCCCTTTGCTCTGTCGTATTCTACTGTTGTTAGATCTAGTATTCTCCTTTAGACACTCTTTTTGTATTTACGTATACATTTTCTGTTGTCTTCATTCTACTATTCTGCTTTGTCAGGCTGTTTTCCTTTCCCTGCCTCTTTCTCCAGTTATTGTATTCAAATGAGGTGTTGTGTGTCCTTGTAAAAATGGCGACCGAGGTCTCTGTGTCAGGCCAGACAGCGTGCTGTTGTCCCCGACACTGTTTGCTCAGTTGTTTGTTAACTCTTTGTGTGCCACGAGTAAAAGTGTAGATGTAGATCTATGTTGTATTGAAGTTTTGCTTCTCAAAAATACTATTTGATGCATGCTTCCCTGCTCTTTTCTTCAGTGATCTATTTTACCTTGATCTACTCCGCTCTACCCTGGTCCTGTAAACCTTGGTCTAATATATTCTACCTTGGTTTACTCTGTACTGTAAACCTTGGTCTAATCTGTTCTACCCTTGGTGGTATTTGCCAAAGTCAAATCTACTCTGCTATATTTTGATGTTCTACGATCTACTCTGATCTATCTTTTTTGGTCTGTTCCCTTTGTTCTGTCGTATTTTACTGTTGTTAGATCTAGTTATCTCCTTTCAACACTCTTTTTGTCTTTACGTATATAATATACATTTTCTATTGTCTTCATTCTACTATTCTGCTTTGTCATGCTGTTTTCCTGTCCTTGTCTCTTCCGCTAGTTCTTGTATTCAAATGAGGTGTTGTGTGTCCTTGTAAAAATGGCGACCGAGGTCTCTGTGTCAGACCAGACAGCGTGCTGTTGTCGAGTCACTGTTTGCTCAGTTGTTTGTTAACTCTTTGTGTGCCACGAGTAAAAGTATAGATGTATGTCGTATTGAAGTTTTGCCTCTCAAAAATGATATTTGATACATACTTCCCTGCTGTTTTCTTCAGTGATCTACTTTATTTTGGTGTACTCTGCTGTCTGCTCGGTTGTTTATTAACTCTTTATGTGAAACGAGTAAAATTATAGAGTGGCGTTGGTGGCTTAGTGGTTAGGCTACCGGAAACACAATCGTGAGACTGCGGTTTCGGGGGTTTGAGCCTCAGCTCGGTACGACGTTGCGTGTTTTGGAACGGCACTTTACAACCAATTTCCCATTTGGCTCTGTCCTTCCGGAGACGGATGTTAAACTCGGAGGTCCCGCCTCTTGAATAACTTAACTGTGTTGATGGAAGCGTTAAACCTATACCATTTCATTTTTTAAAGTATAGATGTGTGCGGTATCGAAGTTTTGCCACTCAAAAAATGATACTTGATACATGAGAGACACTGTCCAAAGTCACCACTTCGTCGTCCGTAGTTTCTCTCACATTTGTTCGATGTATTCTCGGAGTGGGGTGGTTTTGGACTTCTTAGGGTACATTCGATTATAGTACTCTGGTGGTAAAACGTGATGGTGCACGAAGCTGATATCGTAGATGGTGATGCCCAAAAGGCTGACAATAATGGTGAAATCTTTTTCTTAGGCTTAATTAATATTGTTCCTGAAGTGAGCAGTAGAGCCAAAAGTAAAAAAGTGTCCGAAACCTCCCCACTCTCTTTCACATCTCATCATAAGCTTAATGTTAATATTTATTCAACATGTTAATGTTGGTTTAATATATTAACGTTTATTCACCATATTAATCGTTGTTGTTGTTGTTTTTTCAACATATTAATGGGGGTTTTTTTCAATTCTATACTTTTTCTTCGCCAGAGCTTGCATGGTCATCGGCGGTCTATTTTTAGTATCAGCCTCATCTCTGATCACGAAAGGCGTCGTAGCTATTGTAGGTCGGAAACATGAGAGTAAGGTAGGTTCTCCAGGCTGCTCATTCTGTATGTTTTTTAAATTATTGTATCTTTTCTTTGACAGTTTCTTTTATACATGTCATAGACCACGCTAAAGTCTATTTTCTTCACCTTCACCTATCCCGGAGAGTGGATGTCCGTTGGGGCGCCTTTAAAGATTTAGCCATCAACTTCCTCCACTCCTTCCGGTCTTCAGCTTTTCTGAGCGTGTCTTTAAGGTCCAGGCCTGTCCATTTTTTTATGTTGTCCTCCCAACTCTTCTTTGGTCTGCCTTTGCTCCTTTTATATTGTATTTGTATTATTATTTGTTCCATCTACTCTGTTGTCG